CTTGGCCTATTCACCCATTCTCATCTCTGTCCTGCCCTGACAATTGGGTCAGTCTCTTTACTGGCATCTGCCTATAGTCTGCCTCAGCTCCAATTCATCCATCCATCCAATTTGTCTTTATTAAGTGCATTGCCATATGCCAGGCAGTATAAATACTATAATAAATCAGTCTCTGACAGTGATGATTGAGTACCAACATTAATGAAATAGTCCCCTAAAAAAACGTATAATTACAGGTACTATGCAGGAAAATTACAGGTTATTAAGAGAGCATCATAATGGGGCCCTGAACGGTCAAGGGGCCAGGAAGCCTTCCCTGTGGCAATGACCTTTGAGCTGAGCTCTGAAGGATGAAGGAGGTAACTTGGCAAAGGAGCGTGGGACTAAGATCTTCCAAGCAGAGGTAACAGTGAGTATAAAGGCCCTGGAGCAGAGAGGAGCAGGGTACATTGTAGAGTCCAATGCGGCAGAAGAACCAGTCCTTTTTTTTATCTTTGTATCTCAAAGTGCCTGACACATAATAGGTGTTTCAATAAATATTCATTGAATGACTCAATGAATAAATGAAGGGATGGGTGATGAACAGGCAGATAGATAAAGAAATGAAGCTGTAATTCATGGCACAGTCTACTCCATGGCTGGTCTCCCTACTTGAAGCTTGTCCACCTCCAGTCCCTACTCCACCCTATGGCCACAGGTGCTTACACCCATCATAGCATTTATGACACTGTATAAATTGACTGGTCATTGTCTCCCTCCTCCCCCATAACGAGCTCCACAGGAACTTGTCTGTTTTTCGGTATAGCCCCAGCACCTAGCCCACGGCCTGCACAGAGGAAGTATTACATATAAATATTTAATGAGTTGATAGGTATAAGAAGCAAACACCTAACATCAAAGTCAGTCAGGCAGGAGAGGGTGGAGTTGGGAGTGAGTAAAACACAAGTCAACTGCCAGCGTCAGTCAGCACGGAAGGGGCTGAGAGCAAGAGGAGCACATACATGCCTGTGGCATGCAGGAGTCCTGTCTAGAGACATGCCCAGAGCTGGCAGAGGCAGCAAGCAAGCAGGTGCAGGAGACAAGGAACAAGCAGTGGGGCAGGCCCAGGTCACCCGGGGGATGGCATCCTTCTGGCCGATCTAAAGGGCCTGGCTTGCACCTGGCAGGTCACACCACTGGCCTCCAAAACGAAACGTTCACACCTGATGCTTATCTACTACATTATGGCTATGTGTATGTGTGTGTGCGTGTATGTGTGTGTTTGTCTCTCTGTGTGTGTCTGTGTGTGTGTATGAGTATGTCTGTGTGTGTATGTGTCCCTGGGCTGAGTTCCCCTGGGACACATACACCCCTAGGGGTGGTCCCTTTTCTTTTGGCTCCTGCCCACTGCCAATGCCCAACCCAGTGCCTGACCCTTGGTCGGAGCAAGCAAATGTGTTTTGGAGAAATGAGCAGCCAGCAGGAGAGAGAGCAGTTGGCCTGGCAGTCAGACCAGCTGGAGGGGAGGCCCCTAAACAAACAGAACCTTTGCCAGGAAATCGAGCAAGACAAGCCCTGTGGACAATTGTGAGGTTCTTGTCTGAAAGCCTCTTATTTGCTTGCTTGAAACCAGACTTCCTATAGTGTCTATTCTGGCCCTCTTGTTTTGACTTACCACCTTTCAAAATTGTCACTGTCTCACCATTTCATTCTGCCCTTTGGGCCCCTACTTTCTGCAACAGCTAAATTGAAACTTCATGCGTTTATTCATGAAACATTTAGTGAGTGCCTATTATGTGCTAGACGCTAAGTCACCAGCCTCCTCGTTCTGTGGGAGAATCGGACGAGAGAGACAGTCAAATAATAACTGCTCACACTCCCAGGTGATAAGAGAACAAAGCACCATGGGACACGGGAAGCAGACACCCAAACCAAAGTAAACGTATTATTTGACCTTAAGTGTTTTTCTTGAACCCATTTCCTCACGTATAAAAGTGACTAAGGAACCAGAACTGGAGGTATTTGGGTCAGAGATGCCACTGACTAATTGTTCCCCAAACAACCGGCGGTGTGGTCCTTCAGAGCTGCTGGGAGCAAACACCAATCCTGCAACATTCACACTCTCAGGATCCAGGTTTTGCCTTGGGGCCAGCAATTACTTTACGCCTCACTTTGCACATGGCCCCTACTTACTCTTTGCTGCTGGAGGACTAGAACTCTTCCTCAGTCCCTGGGCCTCATCACTCTGTGCTAAGACGACCAACTGTCCCCATTTAGCACTGGGTAAACTGGGACATGTGGTCATCCTAAAGTCTGTGCCCTTTGCTGCACCTGCCCGTCTGCACCCATTCCAGGGAGGCTGGTCTGGATTGGGGGTAATAGAGGGAGTGGCCTTCACAGCTGCAGGAAAGGATCTTATGGTCAGCACCTGTTTCTCTGATCACGTGCTCCAGCTCCCACGATTCAGGCCACTAAAACCTGCCTGTTGACTCAGCTACACCTCGGTTGCTGAGTCAGGCCTGATGGAGGCAGGAAAGTCAGCTGTGAGCTCGGTGAGGGAGAGTAGAGATCCTGCTGGTCTGTAATCACTCTATCAGCACCTAGCACAGCGCTCCATGGAGTAGGAGTTCAATAATGAATGAGTTAGGAGTGGTCTTGGCCTCTCCATTCAGTAAGGCTTATATCAAGTCACTGACCCAGACCATGTGTCCCCTCAAGCCTCTTCCATTGCCAGCTGAACTCAGGACCCCTAGACCCTAGGCACCAGCCTGGAACACCTATGTGGCCTGAAACCCAGCTCTCATTTTCTCACTTCTTGGGAACACTTTAAGGCTGCCCAGGCTCTTTGGCCAGTATCTGACAGCATCCTGCCCTTCCACCCTAGGTGGACTTGTTCCTGTCAGACTTCACATGGCCCAGTGCTGGGATTTCTACCTTCAGGGTGCTAGCTGCCCAGTTGCCCGTGGTCTGATGTCTGGCAGCTGCCTAGATGAAGATCCTGCTGCTTGTTGTACCCAACACCCTCTCTGGGAAATCTGCTGACTCTTCTGAACCTCTGAGCTGGTAACTCCTGTGGGCTCTGCCTTTCCCCTGAGCCGCACCTAAAGGGTCAGTTACAGCCAGCCAGCTGAGGAGGTGAAAACGAGGCACCAAGAGAAGTGCCAATCTTCCCTCTTCTTCCCAATCAACACATATATCACCAGCTAGCTGCGGAGTCCCTGGAGAGCTGTGAGAAGGGTGTGGGAGGAGCATGGAGCTATTTGTAGAATCACAACCTCAGCGCTGGAAGGAACTGTCTGGGTCACTGAGCCCAGCCTCCCACCTGTGCGGGAAAGGAATCTTTTTCTACACTCTGCAGATAACGTGGGCCTCTAGGTGCTGCTTAAATATCTGCCTTGATGAGACAGATGCTCGCTCCCTTCCAGGTGTCTTGTTACCAGTTGGATCGTGCCCATTGTTAGGAAGTTTTCGCTACATACTCATTTCTTGTAAGGAAATGAGCCCCTTATTGTGTGTCTCTTTTTCCGATGTTGAACTCCTAAATTCTGGTGAGTTTATCCTGCTGGCACTAGAGTAGGTTGGGCTGAGATCTCACCTGAAAGGAATGACCATTCCCAATAGTATCATTCAGGGTCCCAACAGGTGGCACAGTCAGATTAGAACAATGTGAACAAAATATATTTATGAAGGGACCATTTAGAAAGTTGTTGGTGGGCCCTAGGGGAACCATAGGGATAGTGCAGTCCCCTGCAGTAAGCAGCAATAGAGATCTTACCGCTTAGGCCTGAGGACTAGTGGAGAGGGCGGTTAGTAGAACCCAGAAACAGGGAGTCACATAGAGGAGGCTGTCTTCAAGACCACCTAGGCGTGTTTCAAACGCACTATTCACCACACACAACCAGGAGCTAGAAGCAATGTTGGCTGGGGCCCACGGTCAGGGGCAGGGTCCCCAGAGAGTTGCCTGGAGGAACACTATTGAGTGCAAGCTGGATGGCAGGGTGTGCAAAGCAGAGAATCTGAATTCCATCCACAGATTACAAGGCTGAAGAGGGCTAAATAGTAAAGTTTGCAGTCACTGGCCTGAAGCAGAAAGCCTGGGCAAAGCACAGGGAGCCTGTGAGAGTCCCTGCAAACGGGTACATGGGGCCTATTGGAATTGGCCTCTGGCCAGGGTGGAGGCCTGTATTGCTCCCCAAGACTTCTTTGTAGCCCAAACCCAGGATCCATTTCTTTGAATAACAGACCACTCCTTCCTCTCCCTCCCGTGGGGTGGGGGCAGGAGGGGCTCTGTTTGACTGGACTCTTCCCTGTTCCCGTCAGTTCCTGTGACATGTGTCACATTACTCTGAACTAATCCTGGTGGCCTGCCCTGCTCAGCTTAGTTCTCTTCCTGGGGCCTGGAGCCTTGTTCTGGGGCCAATTCACTGCCTAGTCAGTCTACGATCCAACCCAGCCAGGACTTCTTAAACTGTAAGGTGCATACAAATCCCCTGGGGATCTTGTTAAATGACCACTCAGATTCCGTAAATCTAGGGTGAGCCCAGAGATGCTGCGTTTCTAACAAGTTCTAGGCAATGCTGATGCTGTCGGTCCACAGGCCACACTCTGAGTAGCAAGGCTTCAACCCAGCAGTTCTCACACTCTGGTTCGAATCAGAATCACTTGGGGAACTTGGTAAAACTATAAAGGCCTGGCCCCTCTTCTGCTTCAACAAGCCTGGGACTCCGCAGTCGCTATTAGTTCTCCAGGTGATTCTGATACACACACAAATTTGAGAAATATTGCTGTAATCCACAACTGATCCCTGCATGTTGCAGGTGGCCAGCCGGGAGGCGGGCACCATTGGTTGCCACCTGCATTTGAGGCCCTCCCTCAACCCCCTGCCAAGGGCTTTTAGAAAAACTAGCTTCCCTAAGGGTAACTCATGTTGTCATTCCTTCAAATATAACTGGGGTAGGGCTCAGTGTTCCCTCTGAGCACCGGGTGACAAGGAAACTATCTCTTGTTGTGACGTAAATTACCACGGAGCTCCTATTAGCTGGTGCTTTGAGGAAGTGAAATACGCCCAGCGTGGAGGTCAGGTCATCACTAATGAGCTCTTGCATGGCAACCTCTGTGATAGCCCCTCCTCCCTCGGGAGCCTGGAGACGCCTCCCCTGCATCCTCTCCCTTGTCTATCTACAAGTCAGGGCAAAGAAGATTGACTGTCAAGTGTGAAACATAATCACTTTCCACATGAAATGGACTAACATACTTTGGCTACCAAATGGAAATGGTTGAAGGTTCAGGAATACAGCTTCTAGACTGTAGATTGTGGAAATGGTGAGGAATAAAGGAGAAAGCCACAAGGAAAGCAGGGGAAGTATGGTGTGGTATCTAACACCCCTCTCTTCTGAAACCTTTTAACCCTAACTGGGATGCACAGTAAGAATATTAACACTTGTTTAAGGCTTCCCCTCATCACAGCAGTAGCAGCACTGCAAAGGCAGGGCATCATCACCTGCCCCCACAACTTCTAACAACTCCGATAATCTAAGATGTGACAATGATCCTTGGCCTGGGACTTGGCTGGGTCCAAGGGACAAGGCTTTGGAAGGGGAATCTGGTTTAGTATTTTGGGTCTCCTGAAATGATCCTCACCACTCTCCAACCACAGGTCCCTTCCACAAAGCTATAGGTCAGAGCTGGCATCAGTGGTCCCCATTGCCTACAGCCGGGATTGGCAAACCATGGCCTACAGGCCAAATGCAACCTACCACCTGTTTTTGTAAATAAAGTTTCATTGGAACACAGCCACATTCATTGCTTTACATCAGTGGTTCTTAAGTTGGGGCAATTTTGCACTCTCCCCCACCCCCACAGGAGACATTTGGCAATGTCTGGAGACATTTTGGGTTGTCACAACTGAGGGATACTACTAGCATCTAGTGGGCAGAGGCCAGGTAGAGGCTAAACATCTTACAGTGCACAGCACAGCCACTACAACAAAGAATTATCCAGCCAAAAAATTCACTAGTGCTATGGTTGAGAACATCTTTATGTATTGTCTATGGCTCCTTCTGTGCTGTAACCACATGGTTGAGTAGATGTGACAGAGACCATATGATCTACAAAGCCTATTATCTATATAGGGTCCCTATGAGTAGTAATGCCCTATTGGGCAGTTCTACTCTGTACTCCGTCCTACAGGGTAGCTATGAGTTGGAATTGACTCATTGGCAGTGAGGTTTGTTTTTTTTTTTTTGGTATCTATCAGAAGGAGCCCTGGCAACGTAGTGGTTAAGTGCTCGGCTGCTAACCAAAAGATCCGTGGTTCGAACTCCCCAGTCACTCTGTGGGAGAAAGATGTGGCAGTCTGCTTCTGTAAAGATTACAGCCTAGAAAACCCTATGGGGCGGTTCTACTGTATTCTATATGGTTGCTATGAGTTGGAATTGACTCAGTGGAAGTAGGTATCTATCTACTTATCTACTTATCTGTTGCTATTACAAACAATAGTGTTAGGAACATCTTTGTACACTTTCCTTTGTATAATTATTTCTGCAGTCTAGATTATTAAAAGTGAAATTACTGGCTCATAAAAACAAAACCAAACCCATTGCCATCTAGTTGATTCCAACTCATGCTGACCCTATAGAACAGAGCAGATCTTCCCCATAGGGTTTCCGAGGAGCGGCTGGTGGATTCGAACTGCCGACCTTTCAGCCAGCAGTTGAGCTCTTAAGCTCTGCACCGCCAGGGCTCTGCTGGGTCATAGGTAGGTGCATTTTAAATTTTGAAAATTCATGCATTCTGGCATTTTTGAGCCCAAAACGGAATGATGGAGAGTCCCTGTTTCATTGTGTTCTTGCCAGCTTTAAGTTTTAAACAATTTTCTAATCTTGGAGGCAAGACATGGTATTTCACAGTTGTTTTACTTTGCCTTTCTTTGCTTATTTGCTAGGTTGAACACGTTGACAACTTTGCTTGCCAATTACTTGTAGTTGCTGGCTAATTGTCTGTGTCCTTACTCATTTGTCTATTGCAAAAGACCATCTAATTTTAGCCATGACTGGATTAGATAACTAATTAAATAACATTTATAACTACTGTTTACTCAACACTTATTTTTGTGCCAGACACTGTGCTAAGCATTTCGCATAGACTATTTTTCATTTAATCAGCCTAGTGAAGAAGATATTATCCACTTTAAAGATAAGGAGTTGAGGATTAGAGAGTTTAAGCAACTTGCCCTAGATCACTGTCTGATAAGTGAAGGAGCCAGGGTTCGAGCTCCACACTGGCTGCCCAGCGCTCTAACCACATAGCTGCATTGTCACAAGGGTCTCATGATTCATTGACTGGTTCATTCATTTAATGAACACTTATTGAGGGTCTGCAATGGATAAACACATATCTATCTATCTGCCTGGTACCCAGGACACTGGTGAGGTTGCTAGTTGCTACCTATAAGCTGCACACATAGTGCTAAGGCGAAGGCCGTGGTTTGGGCTGATAAAAGATGAAGGGAGGAATTTGGAAAGAGGAACTGAATGGAAAGGGCCACTGATAGGAGCTGTGGCCTTCAGTAGAAGCACATGGCCAACTCTCTCTGACCCAGCAAGGCTAGAATCAAGAATAAATACCCCAACCTCACACTCCTCCCTCCCTCCCGTCTCCTACCAGTGACCCCCAGGGACCAAGCACAACTAGACGCCAAAGGGCAATAACATTCACTGAGGCAGTCCATGTTGCTCAGCCTCTCAGGGCACAGAGTCGGGGACAAAAACATGAAAAAGTGGACTCAGTGAGGTAAATGGAAAATGTCTGGCACCCCGTCCTCTTCACCTCAGTGTTAGGTTCCAAGAAACAGCTGCCCATCCATCCAGCTTGCTCACTGAGTCAGTTACATCCTACCACTGGTCTCTAGTGGGGTCTACTGACCCAAGACCAAAGCAAAGCAGGTCACTGATACATGCGAGTTCATTGGAGAACAAAAAGGGTTTCTGTTCTGAGGAGTGTCTGAGTAGTTACTGATTTTTTTTTTAAATAAAATTATTATTTTAGAATAGTTTTAAATTTATGGAAAAGTTGTGAGGATAGTAAGAGAGTTGCCATATATACCACATCTAATTTCCCCTATTATTAACATCTTATGGTACACTTGTCAGAATTGTTATTAGCGATCATAGAGTCAGCCCTCAACTCATGGCCACCCTCTATAATTGGTTGCAGGTCAGTTGTGATCCATAGTGTTTTCATTGGCTGATTTTTGAAAGGAGATTGCCATGTCATTCTTCCTAGTCCCCATTTAGTCTGGAAGTTCCGCTGAAACCTCTTCAAAATCATAGAAACACACAACCCTCCACTGACAGATGGGCGGTGGCTGTGCATGAGGTGCATTGGCTGGGAAACAAACCCAAGTTTCCTGTATGGAAGGTGAGAATTTTACCATTGAAGCACCACCGCCCTCTTGTCATAATTAATGAGCCAATACTGATGCATTATTATTAACTAAAGTCCATAGTTGACTTAAATTTCTTTAGTTTTTACCTAATGTCCTTTTTCTGTTCCAGGATCCCATGTAGGATACAACATTACATTTAGTTGTCATGTCTCCTTAGGCCCCTGTAGTCTGTGAGTTTGTCAGACTTTCCTGGGTTTTGAAGACTGCGACGGTTTTGAGGCGTACAGGCCAGACACTTTGTAGAATGTCCCTCGACTGGTATTTGTCTGATGTTCTTCTCATGATTACACTAGGTTTATGGGTTTTGGGGAAGAAGATCACAGAAGTTAGGTGCCGTTGTCATAACATCATATCAAAGGTACATACCATCAACAGGACTTATCACTGTTGATGCTGATCTTGATCACCTGGCTGAGGTAGTATTTGTCAGGTTTCTCCACTGTAAAGTTACTCTCTACCTCCCTCTTTGTACTATATTCTTTAAGGAAGTGATTATATGTACAGCCCACACTTAAAGAGTGAGGTGTTATGCTCCACATCCTTGAGGGTGGAGTATCTACATAAATTATTTGGAATTCTTCTGCATGGGACATTTCTCTATTCTCCCCCATATAATTATTTACTTAACCACTTATTTATATGAGTATGGAGCCTGGATATTTATCTTATACTTTGAGTTACAATCCGATACTATATTATTTATTTTATTGCTCAAATTGTTCTGGTTTTGGCCATTGAGAGCTCATTCAGTAGGCTTTTGTGTCCTTTTGACATATCCCCATTGTTATGGTTTTTTTTGAGCACTTCCTTATTTTCTGGTACTGCAAGATACTCCAGGCTCATTTTGTGTATTTCCTGCCCCAGTTCTAGAAGCAGCCATTTCTCCAAGGAACCCTGGTTCCTTTTATTAAAGAATGGTATTAGAAACCACGATCCATGTGCTAGGTGTGCTCATTGCTACTCGGGTGTCCTTGCTTCTAGGTCTTCTCAGCTGACAAAACGAGGAAATACATGTGCATATACTAAACCTATATGTATCCACCTGTATCTATATTAAGCTAAACATGAGTTCATACCGATGTCTCCAACTCTAATCCAGTGCCACATGGATAATTACTATCTTCTCCACTTGCTTGTCTATAACGGCTCACTCCAATAATTAGAAACCTGGCTCCCACCATCTACCATTTATTTACTTAACTGTTTAATTCTTAGATACATGTATAGTGTTTTTGGAATTGTTAACCTGTAAAAAACAAAAAGTTGCCATTGACTCAATTCCAACTCATGGCAAGCCCTCATGTGTCAGAGTAGAACTGCGTTCCATAGGATTTTCAATGGCTGATTCTTTGGAAGTAGATCACCAGGCCTTTCTTCCAAGGCATCTCTGGGTGGACTTGAACTTCCAACCTATGAGTTTAGCAGTCACAGTTAGTGCCACTGTGAAAAACAACTTTATCAACCAGTGTACAGTGCATATGTACAGTACCTTTTGCCTTTAATCTTACAAACTCTACTCCTTTCCAAAGGTTACTTAGGTCAGCAGCACCCTCCTCCCCATCTTCAGTGAGATTTTTCATACATTTGTATTACAGTTAGATTCTTTGTCACAGTCTGGGATCCTTTGAACTCCTAAATGATTTTTTCAAATTTGCATAA